GGTGCCCGCCTCTTGCGGTCCCGGGCAAGCTCCCGGGAGCCGCCAGCCTGGTCCTGGGAAGAGGGGGAGGGCTGGGGGGCATCGGGTGGGTGGCTCGATCCGTGCCAGGTGCAGGGTCTGCTGGCTGGGTGCTGGCAGGCTTGCACCTGGCACAGGCACCGTAGGGTCAGCCTTTAAGGGGTCCGGGGCCGGGAGGGGGGCAGACGAGTTTCCCTGGTGTTGGCCAGAGTGGCCACCAGGGGAACCTGGGGAGGGCTAGCCTCCCACTAGTTCGAATTAAGGGGCTACACACCCCTTAATTCGAACTAGCTAGTTCGAACTAGGCTTAATCCTCGTAAAATGAGGTTTTCCTAGTTCGAACTAAGCGCTCCGCTAGTTCGATTTAAATTCGAACTAGCGGAGCGCTAGTGTAGCGCCTATGAATGTTAGTTCGAACTAACGTCCGTTAGTTCAAACTAACATTGTAGTGTAGACATACCCTGACATACTACCAGATGCCTTATTTTCTGTCCTTCATACATTTTTTGGACAATTATATTAATCGCATGTAAGATATAAGGTGTTGGAACATTTGTGATTATTGAGTTATATTTCAAATATATTACAAATATAGATTTTTATACTTGGAGTTAGTATATTATCAGTTGTGAATAATTAGGACTATTTTTTCCCCACCTTATTTAAGGTGGGTGGTACTTTACTTTGCAAATAGTTACATTTGAAATCAGTGGGAGCGCTCGCATAGTAAGATACTACTCAATTATAGAATGTAGCAGTTTACCTAATCTCCCTCTAATATGCTATCACATTTTTTCATCAGAGTTTTGTGTTTGTGAAAAGGGCTTACTGCAATAACAGGCCTGGAAACTAAAATCCTTTGTCTAAAGCATAGGCCCAGAAAGTGCTGGCCTACTTATGTTGCTCTGCCAGTGTTTCCCTGTTTAGATTAGATCATCTCTAAAAAAGAGAGAGTAGTTCAGTCTCTTAGGCCTATTCAGTCATGTTCCTTCTGCTGAGGCTGCCAAAGGGGGTAGTGCCAGAACAGTTTTTGTGAGTCGGACAGTTGGTCTCTGTGAAACGGACTGAGATCACCAAACCCATTTCTTATCCTTCTAGAATCTGGACAGCACTGGAAGTATGAGTGTCAAACAATCTCAGTTTAAAATAAGAATTTATTTTCTTTGGTTTTGTGTCCATGGCTACACATGCCATTTTTATGTGTCACAGCAGATTTAAATATGACAATTTGAGACTGTACTGAGAACCACTCCCTTGTGGTCAGAGGAATCTAATGTACGACACTCTGTGCTATTCCAAAACTACTTAACGGTTGCCATTCAGTTAACCATGGAGTAGGCCAAAGGTCTGAGTTTATACGTTAAAATGGACATGGGAAATATTGTCAGCATATTCCTTTTTTAAAGAAGTCATGTAAAGAATATAAGAAAACTAATTTCTTATGGACAGAGACAGCAAATGTTTAAAGTGATATGAAAACTGTATTTTTAATATCAGACATCAGGCCTTACTCTTCCCAACAAAGTGGCTGATAGTTGATTTGATTTATACTGTGGTCTGGTTGTTTTATAATGAATAGAAGCAGAGACTACTGGGAAAAAATTAGTTAGCTTGCCTGCATAAATGAAAGGAAACTTGAATTTCAGTCAATAATTCTCCATACACGTTAAAAATAAAGACAATGAATAGAGAACTTTTGTCATATTGATTTTCCATTTTCTCTTATATGCTACTAGAAAACTTACCTGACTTTAGGGGTAGCAGAGGTAGCACAGGGCCGGCACTGGTGGGGGGAGGCTGCCCAGGGCACCTGCCAGCTTCTCCCCAGATCTGGACCAAGCCAGCACAGGTGGTATGGACTGCCCACTGAATGCTTCCATGGGCCAGCCCGGAGGAGTGGGGATCATGTGACCTGTTGGGTGTCTGCTCCCGGCTGCTCCACGGTGGGGGCCGTGTGGCATGGTGGGCAGCTGCTCCCAAGGCACAGCCCAGGGCCATGGTGGCTATGCTACTGGCCAGCTGCTGTCTCCCCACAGGCTGTGCACTTGCTTGCTCCGCTGTGGTCATTCATGAGTATAACTGCCCCCCATGCTTGCTACCCCCTGTGGTCATTATACAGTATAACTATTCCCACTATCACACTCCTCCCTTTCTGTTTAATTGAAACAGTCACATTCCACACACATTCCATTGCCCTGGCCCAACAAATTCTGACCTTGCTTTTTTAAGTTAGGATAAGAAGCTGCATGCCAAATTTGGTGTTCCTAGCTCTTACTATTTAGGAGGAGTTCTTGAACAAATGGACTAACAGATGGACACACAGATGCACAAACTCCCCAAAATATGTAATAGATGGGTCTCTACATAAGGCACAATCATTTCACCTCTCCTCTATTTCCACATTGTCATATGACATCTTGAAATAAAACAGAAACTCTGCTCTGAATATATTTTCTATTGTGTGTTTTAAACACAGACCACACATCCCTTCCTGTCTTTTCTGTGGCCTTCCATTAAAGGTGTATCTGCACTGCAGGATTCTTTTGGCATTTTTGAAGTGTGGATACATACATGCATTTGTATAAATAGCAGTGTAGATGGTGAGGCACAGATTTGGCCAGTAAAGACACATCTGAAGTGAGTATGTACCAGAGTACACAGCCTGCATGTTTTCTACTGGCCCAAGCTGTGTCTCCTGTGTACACTGCTATTTTTAGCAGTGTATAGTGTCCCACTTCTGAGCTTTTCTTGCTGTACTGAAAGGTTCTGGTAGCAGAGAGCAGCTGAAGCCGCCTTCCCCTGCCTGCCATATGCCAGAGCCTTTTACTGACAAGTGAAGCTACACACCTCATTGTGGACACGGTGTGCTTTTCACCCTGGTGGATAGTTATATGTATACTACATGCCACCGAAAAGTGTGTGCTGTAGACAGCTTTAGAATACATTTTGGTCTGGTGAGGAGGTAGATATTAAGCTAACAGCTTCCTTCCAATGTTTATTTTGTCCTAGTATTTTGAAGCTATTGCAGGCTTATTCACAGAAGCAGTGCTGGTGCTAGCCCATTGGGGGCCCAGAGCAGGAATATTTTTTGCCCTGCCTCTCTTCACAACACATGCTAATAATGAATATGCCCCTTCCCCCACTGAGCTGTTTGGGACCCTAAGCATCGCTTACTTTGCTTATGCCTAGCATTGTCTCATCACAGAAGTACTGTTTGCTTTCTAGTACTTATAGTTTTCTCTGTCTCTTGCATAAAAATAAAATAGGATTGTTGTGATAAATCTTTCTATTTATCTGACCTTGCTGGCAATTTGGTGAATATTTTGATTAGAGAATCATCTAAATTAATTGTTAACTGGGACTAAATAAATTTATAATTTAGTGTTTAAATTATAACTTGTAAATCCATACCTTGTCCTTAATGTAAAGAGTGTGTAAAATAGAATCCCCCCCCCAAAAAAACCCAATTCATTGTATAAGCCACTCTTCACTAACTTCATTATTAACTTCACAGTCTGATTATGTACCCTTTCTCTAACCATCAACCCATCTTCAAGTGCTTGATGCATCCATTGTTATGTGTTGATTTAGTAAAGCTTGTGGGAAAGTCACATATTTATTTGTCTCTGTTGGTTCCCTGAAAGAAGGAAATTTCAGTTTGGAATCTAGGTTTGAGAGGTGCCCTCCTGGGAGAGGCTATCCTTGAATTACTGATCTTAAGGTCACTATTGCACATGTGTTCCACGTACAGAACAGTTAGTTATTATATATCAATGGAAAATACGAAAGTGGAATTTATGTCCTTTAGATTCTTAGTAAAGATAACAGATTAAAAGATCTTATTAGAATAAGCAATTTTGCATTTACAGCCCTTCTGTTAGGTTTTAGTCTGACTGAATTGTTTTGGAGTAATGTATAGCCCTGGAGATTAGAGTCTATTATAATTTAACTTCTGTTTATAACAGAGCTATTAAATGTTGTTCATGTTACCTATGTAATGTGAAAATTAATATTGCTTTTGAATACTTCATCTTATGTAACAATTTCTGATAAAAGTTCAAAACCAGAAAATTATGCTGTCAAAAGAAATTTAGATACAAATGATTTAGTAATTTAGAATATTGTGAGTCTAATAATTGTATATTTTTAATGTAGAGAGCAACGATATGTAATTTTCACTGAAGAGTGTGTGTATATGTGTTCAGGATAGAAAAATCTGTGACAATTAAAAGTTGTTTTTTCTGCTATATTTTCAATATTTTAGTCCTTAATACATGCTTTTATTATATTTATATTCATTATGTTTTAGATATCTGACATCCATGTTACTGGAGAGTCAGAGGATATGTCTGCTAAAGAGAGACTACTCCTGTGGACACAGCAGACAACTGAGGGCTATGCTGGAATCCGTTGTGAAAATTTCACTACCTGCTGGCGAGATGGAAAATTATTTAATGCCATTATACATAAATACAGGTAATTGCACAGTTTACTTTATTCATATTTACACACTTGAAAATATTGATATAAGAATTTTAACATACATGAAGAAGCAATCCAGCAAAAAAAGGACACTCTGGCATTTGTCTTGTATAATACCATAGATGTGGAGACTAACTATGAGTAAGACTAAAATTTAGTCACAGGTATTTTTAATAAAAGTCAAGGACAGGTAACTGGGCAGTCAACAAAGATTCACAGCTTGTGATCTCTCCAGGATTATTATGTATACCTCTAACTAAATCTTGGAACAATTTTAACTGGCTATGGATACAGTTATTTTCTGACTTCTATTCTAGTAGACAGGAGGAACTGCATAAAGCATGCATATCTTCTATTTCTTTTGGTAATATTGGAAAGGTAGAGAGAAATAACAAAATGTTATCCTAAATGTCTCTGAGAGCAAATTAATCAGGCAGGATAGAGTAGTGAGGAGACATGCCTAGCCCAAGCTGGTGTGAGAAAAGATAAAAAAAAATCAAATTATATAGGGCCGAAAGGGAGGAGTTTAAAGAAACAGATCAGCAGTTTTTTCAATAGAAAATACTTCCAAGATCTTCCAGCGCTCTGATTACCAGTGCTAATGAACATTTAAGCTTCCACAGCTTGTCAATTAAAGCTGTGATATAGCTTGATTATAAATAGTTGAAAGCTGGAAACGTACATTGTAGTGGCTGAGGGCAGGTGTACACTAGAGGGCAATGTTGACCTAGGTATGCAACTCCAGCTATGTGAATAGCATGCGGGAATTCAGGGGGCGCGGCAATGTACCTAATTATGGGTTACTGCAAGGAGCTGATAGGAGAAACTCTTCCATTGACTACCCTTACACTTTTTGTTCTTGTGGAGTACCCAAGTAGATGAGAGTGTGATTGGCAGTTGATTTAGCACAGGGGCAGGCAATAAAAAAAATGACAGCTGATCACTGTTGGTCCCTGGCATGCCACCACCACTATAATTACCTGTGTCTCCACAGGTATCGGACAATCACAGCTCTCATTGGCCATGGACTGCCATTTGCAGCCAATTGGAATGGCAGCAAGTGGTACAGACTAGGGATGTAATAGAATAGTTGATTAACCAATAAGCAAAAGCTTATAGGTTAATGCTGTAGACTACATGCATTTCCCCTTTCCCCTTGCCAGTAAATTGTTTAGCAGGCTGGCCAGCAGACCAGCTCAGTCCTGGCTTGTAGTGGGGCCTGGACCTACCCCCACTGTGGCTCTGCATTTAAAGTGTATTAGGAGCCAGGCAAGCAGGTAGCCCGATTCAGTTCCAGCTTGTGCCAGGTCCAGGAGCTCAGGTCCCCCCTAGAGAGGAGCTGCTATCACCCCACACTGCAGCCTCTTTATCAGAGGTAGCACCACAGGGCAACAGGCAGACTGGTTCCCCTCGCGGACCAGCACCTGCCTGGCACCCTGCGCTGCTGCCTCTGTTACAGAAGCAGCAGCTTTTGGTGGCAGGGGACTCCTCGGGAGTGGGGCCAGAGTGCACTGTCTGCCAGCCCCATCCTCATCCCCATCCCCAGGGACTATAGATTAGTCAACTAACCGATAAAAATTCTTGAGGTTACTCAGCTTTTCAATTAACCAATATTTAACATCCCTAGTGCAGATTGGGACACTGCTCCTTACAGCTCCCATTGGCTATGAACAGCAATCCATGGCTAACAAGAGCTGCCATCACCTGAGAGCTGCAGATGCCCAGGGAAATATAGAATTGGGGACCTGCCAAGGACTAACCCTGTGGACAGGATTTGGTCCGCAGGCTGGAATTAGCCCACCCCAATTTAGCAGGTCTTTAGTTGATCCACTACTTTGACCCTGGGAGAATCTGTTGCCGCAGTATCAATCTCCTGGGAGGTATAGACCTTCCTTGACAGATATTTTTCCTACTTTTGTGGAGGGCTGCCTCTAGTTCCTGGGTCAGCATTTTCCTTTATTCACAGGGTTTCAGTTGAGAGTGGGGGAACAAGGGCCTTTGGCACATGTATGTTACATAAATCAAATTATTCCATTTTTGGAGTCCCTTTAGACAGATGCAGAGTTTCTTTGCAATGTCCATTTTCAGTTATTTCCCCTTTATCCTACTGACTGTCCTCCTGAATTCATGCATACTGGGTCTACTTGTTCACAATCTCAGGAGTGTTGGCACTAACATCACTAATTTTGTTGGTAGGAGGGTGGTTATACGTGTGATATATTCCTGCTTCCAGTGGGATTTTTTCTATTGACTTCAACGGGAACTGAATGGGTTCCATGCCTGAAAGCATTAAAATAAATATCCTATATTGTCATTTTATGAGAAGGGACAAAAAAGGAAAGTTCTTCCCAAAGATACACATTTTCAGGGAAGCCAGTTGAAACTCAGTGACTGCTAGAAGAATGTTAGGTATTGTCAACAGAGCTCAAGCAGGAAAATTGAATTGTGCCAGCCTTTTTTCTGGAACAGCTTACTTGCATTTTTTTCCAGGCACTGGCTCAGATGTATTATTAGCAATATTGTGGTAGATGAACCAAGTATGATGCTCCTCAGGGGTACCCAGGTATGTGAGGCATCTCACTGTCATCTGTCCTTAGCCTGCTGCAGCCTTGTCTCTCTGCCTGTTGTGAATCAGCTCCCTAAAAATAACATCACAAGCTCAGCTTTCAAAACCTCTGCAGACCTTGCTCTCTTTGGAGAGGTGGAGATGGGAAAGAGCCAATCTCTGAGTTCTCAGAACATTCCTGTCAGTGTCCAGCCCCTTATCGATGAAACACTTAAAAAGAAGTAGGCCAGCTATTCTCAAATGAATAAATCAAGGCCAGCTTGTATGACCTAACTCATGACATTACTTTGCTTAATATCACAATGCTTAGAAATCTTTACAGCGAAAACAAGAAATAGAAAATCAAATAATGTCAAGTAAAAATATTGGAAACAAATTGTTACATATAAAACAAAATAATCTCAGGTTTTCTGTAGACTAAACTTTACAAAATTACTTTCTTGCATAAAGAAGTTTTTCCCCCCAAAGTTCTTCTCTGAATTTCCAAACTAGCCTTTTTCATGAAGCAAAAGTGCGGTTGGTTTATTACCTCCATTAATGGTGTAGCAGTGTCATCTTTGTCTGCTAAATATAATAGAAAAAATTGTTGATGTAAATTTCCATGTAGTCTCAGTGGAAGTTTAAGATGAACAATTATCTTGTTACTTGAGAGATACAGCAAACTTTTTATTAGAATTAGTAAAGATTTAGAATTGTTCACCTTGAGAGGCTGTGGGCCAGTTTACAGCCCTGCCAAACCTTTAGGCTGTATCTAGACTGGCATGATTTTCTGCAAATGCTTTTAACAGAAAAGTTTTTCTGTTAAAAGCATTTGTGGAAAAGAGTGTCTAGATTGGAACGGACGCTTTTGCGCAAAAGTACTTTTTGCGGAAAAGCGTCCGTGCCAATCTAGACGTGGTTTTGCGCAAGAAAGCCCCAATCGCCATTTTCGCCGTCAGGGCTTTTTTGTGCAAAACGGTTCTCAGTTGTCTACGTTAGCCCTCTTGTGCAAAAGCATTTGCGCAAGAGGGCTTTTTCCTGAATGGGAGAGTCATTATATTTGCAGAAGAACACTGACAATCTTACATTAGATCGTCAGTGTTCTTGCGCAAATTCAAAGTGACCAGTGTAGACAGCTGGCAAGTTTTTCCGCAAAAGCAGGGGCTTTTACGGAAAATCTTGCCAGTCTAGACACAGCCTTAGGGTAAATTTCATCCTTGCACAGGTGGCCTCTTAAAACCATGTTTTGAAGGCTTATGTGGGAGTCAGGTGGTAAATGGTTCTTGTGCTGACTCCCAGTTTAGAATTGAATCTAACCCATAATATGAAATGAAAAGACACTGATCAGGAAACAAGTCTGGTTAAACATAAAATAATCAACTCACTGTCCGGTGGCAACTAGAAAAGCAAACAAAACCCTGAGATGTATGAAAAAGGAAATAGATCCTGCAACAAAGAAGATCATTGTGGCGCTACCCAAAGGGATTGTGAGACTACACCTGGACTTATTGTGTACAATTCTTGGCATGATATTGCAGGAAAGATTTTGAAGGATTGGAAATGCCACAGAAGAGGGGGAAAGAATGACAAAGAGCTCCGGAGGCTTGCATCTAATGAAGAGGAGTTAATCAAAATAGGTTTATGCAAAATTAGTGGAAGAGTTAGGGACTGATCAACGACTTTTGAAGTGAATGAAAGTTTTTAATAGATTTGCATCACACCATTAACAAAGTTTATATACAATTTTGGTGGGTATAAGTAAAGTGGATATCACAAAATAAAAGGAACTGAAATCAACAAAGGACCATGCACAGAATCCATGTAAGAGAAATTTCTTTACACAGGGTAGTTCATGCAGGGAACAGAATAATACAAGCTGCACATGTGAAAGGAGTTCGTGTTTTTTTCAAGTATTTGACTGGCTGAATCTTCTGTGCTAAATTCAAGCCTTATTTTATGGGAGGCATTTTCAGATCTATAGCAGGGGTTTGCTAGTCGATTTTTGTTACAGTGCACACGACACTACAGTAATGTTAAAACATGTTGCAGGTGATCAGGCACTGACATGAATAGATTCCTTGAGGGTGCAAAGAATGATGCCAAAATGTGAAATAACAAGCTGAGCAATTTGTGGGGATGATTTGAAAAGAAACTAAATATTACATAGTTTCAAGCCTTAAAATGCCTGGTGGTTAAGTTTAAAATGAAGAGAAAGGTTATTTGTATCTTCTAGTTTCTGCTTACTGTTTTCTAAATTTATTGTTACCTTTTTAACAAACAGAAAATCTCAAATTTTACTTCTCTTTCTATTCTCAGACTTTTTTTTAAATTATTGCCCTTCATAGCTCAAACGGAATTAAAAGCCTGGCCATTAATATTTCTCAGGATGGGAAAAGAAAAAGAGTCTTAAGAAAGATTTTTTAATTATTTCAGTATTTTACTTCTAATG